GCTGATGTGAGGATTTAATGAGGCATCGCATGTGTTGTATTTCACGCATCCGTAACACAGTGTGTGGCCAATACGTGCATTATTACTAGTTACTGATGGATGATGTAATAACAAGGTCCTTCTAGTCCACCTTTCTGTCTCTCACCACTGTTGGCCCACCCTTCGTGCTCTTGCCCCATGAAATATGTGCTATACCACTTGCAGTCTGTGTGGCCAGCCTCCAGGTGCTTGCTCAGTCCCTACTAAGCTCTTCCTGTCCAAACTCCACCCTCCTTCCAGGGTCTGCTCATAAGCCCCTTTCTTCCTGCAGCCTCTGAGCGTAGAGGCCCAGCATGAGCCAGAGTCCACGAGGATTGCAGGTGCTCAAGAACTGTTGAGTGAGTGAATGAACAGAAGCTACGACTTTGTGGGTTCTAGTCTTTGGTGGGGACCAATAGAGGGGATAGATTGGGCTGTGGACTCTGAGAGCCCTGAAGTTCACTGTGGCCAACGGACCTGAGTGAAGGGTCAGTTCTTGAGCCTCTTCATCTGTGAAGGAGATAAGGGAGCCCCACCCATTGTTCGGCAGCGGTCATGCCTTAAGGTCTGTGAAGTGCTCCTGTATGTACCCACCCTTTCGTGGTAGCTTTGAAGGTCAATGTTCTTCTCATGTCCCTGAACAAAGAGCAGGGGAAGCCCCGCTGGGGCTTGGGCCTTGATGCTGAACTCTTCTTCGCCTTCTTCCTCCAGCCTGGAAAACCAGGTAAAAGGTTTATTTATTTGCCCCCCAGTGCGGAGTCCAAGGCCCCAGGCCCTCTTGGCACACACCGGCCACAGACCTGCAGACGGTACCTTTGTATGAATTGGGAAAAGAAAACAGCATCTTTCTCTTGAGTGTGACTTGGCACAGAGGAGACTGGAAAACAGACCGTTGTGTTCCCTGGGACGGAAACACTTGCATGGTGTGTGTGTGTGTGTGTGTGTGTGTGTGTGTGTGTGTTTGCGTGCACACACTCATGAAGAGACTGTGTGGTTGTGGTGCTCTTTGGAGAGTGTATTCTGGGGGCTCAGCGCGGGTTTTGTAGCCCTGCGTGGGAAACAGGGAGAACTGATCCGAGCTCTTGGTTGTTTCTCAGAGGAGACAGCACTGGCATAAGCCAGGTAGGCACACACTCTTGAGAACACAATTAGCCTGGCCAAATGGCTTGAAGTGCACCTGCACTTCAGAGGCTCTGTTGGGGGAACTTTCCCCTGTAGAACAGTTTTGTGTTACGGTTATCCTCCTCTGGGGCTTTGAGAGCCAGGGTCCACGCGGCTTGTCTCCTCTTTTCGCTGGTCCTGCTGTCTGCCTGGACGTGCAGGGATGGCTCAGTCCTGTTGCTGCACACGACGACACGAGCCTAAGTCTTGTAGTTCGTTGTTGAGAAACTTGATGTTCAAGGTGTTCTGGTCATTGCCAGATATTCAGGAGATCACATATAAGGTAGGTGGAAATTTTGACATGTGTTGAAAGCTTGGAGTGAACATTTCTATACAAGTTGACTATTTGGGGGGCCACAAGGAGTTTGAGCAAAAGTGTCTGAAGGGCAGGGGGTCTGGGCTGGTCTGTGTGACATCAAGCCAGGAAAAGTTTGAACTTAAATGTGTCGGTTCTCAAACCCTAGTAGAAGCCACCCTTCTATCAGGGTTAAAGGAGCCCTGGTGGCGTAGTTGGGTGTGCTGCTAACAAGGTCAAGAGTTTGAAACCACCAGTCACTCCAGGGGAAAGATGAAGCTTTCTACACCCATAAAGAATAACAGTCTTGGAAATCCACAGGGGCAGTTCTACCCTGTCCTATAGGGTCATTAATAGTACTCCCTCAAAAAAAAAATAGAGTACTCCCTCAATGCAAGAACACTGTGTTCTATTAAATTGGCATTCCATGATGCTCACCTTCCCGACATGATCGCCAAAGACAAAGCAGGTGAATAAGCAAATGTGGTGAAGAAAGCGGATGGTGCCCAGCTATCAAAAGATATAGTATTTGGGGTCTTAAAGGATTGAAGATAAACAAGCGGTCAACTAAAAAGCAACAAGCCCACATGGAAAAAGCACACCAGCCTATGTGATCATGAGGTGTCGATAGGATCAGGTATCAGGTATCAAAGAACAAAAACATCCTATCACTGTGAATATGATATGAGATAGTTAAGGTTTATTGTGCCAACCTGGCCAATAAACACATGTGGGATTAATTAAAGAGCGGAGAGATAAATGGCTCAGTGAGCCTCACCTTTCTAGGTCTCGGGTCTCTTGTTTTCTGATGGTTGGACCAGGATGCAGCTGCCTTAGTCAGTTCCCTGCTTCAG